GTTCACCCTTTCTTAATACAACATTTCTCTAGTAATTACATGCATGTAAAAATTATTATTTCAAGTCACAGACAATGAAACTAACTGTTATATTTGTTTATCAGTAAATGAACTTGTGTCACATGATGCATATAAAGAATAATTTATTAATTGAAACTATTGTATTACTTTGTTATGACAATTTGGTAATTGTACTACAAAATTAACAGTAAAGTTATTACTAATCACTTGTTTCACAAACTTAATACTTAAATACTGGTTTTAAGCTTAATTAATCACTGTTAGGTTGTTGGTACAAGATGTTAGTAATGTCGAGAAAATCAAAGATTCGATTCAAGATAATGAAGATGAAGAGTGTATATTTTAACATCAACATTGGACGTTGATCATGCAGAAGCTGTTTTTTGTTAGAGTTGCCCAAACTATCGCTTGTTGACCTTAAGTACACCGAATATCCTGCTCATGTGATTGATTTAAGGGAACGGTGTTTGAATATTTCAGAAGATAGGAAGGCCAGATTTTATGTCATGATTTGCAGAAAGTGTTCGGCATTCCTTGTGTACGAAGACAAATAAATAGACGATGATCAAAACAATTGTTGACTTTTTGAAGAACAATATCATAATGATTGGATATTATGGTCATAGTTTGAAACAGGTTGAGACTTTCTTAGGAGCATACTTAAAGATAGAATCAAGTGAAGCTGAAAAGGCATTATTAAAGGCAACATTTGTTCTATTTGTTCCGTGTCACTTTATAACTGCATCATCAAAACCTGACTACACGAATGTGGTTTATTGGGTAGCTCTTTGTAGGAGTGACTACATAGCCGATTATAATTGGTGTGAGCATGCAATAAACTTTCTTGTTGATGCTATTAGCATCACGAAGTTACAAATGGAGTCAAATAGTCTAGTTATAAAATTTATGGCTATGGTCTGTTTTGGCAAGTTATCTTCTCATCCATAGTATTTGACATGACAAATGCTGCTTCTCTAACTTAATCTTTATGCGGATCTTTTTGATTGGCAATCAAGTTGTCATTGGTCTGAGGACATATAATCCACTTCCTAGGATTACATATTATGATAAAAAGCAGATAAATCATACGATTTCTTGTTTAAAAAATATAGTTAAGGGTGTAACGAATTATGATTCATGCAAGGTATAATCTTTTATTTGGAGTAACTATTTAATTATGTTTGAAATAAATCATTTCATATCTCTTTATTGGTTGTTGTTGAAGGTGTCTTGCAAGACCGGAATTTTTTACTTCAGTTGTAAATTGCATTCAAATAAAGATAAAGGCGAGAATCCAAAATTTAAATGTAGCACAATGGTGAGAGGAAATAGGTTGTTCATGTTTAAAAAATATATTTGTTGAAGGATACATCAACAAATGTGGAAAAGATTATGAATTATAATGTTAATCAAAAGAGCATGCAATTAGTTTTGTCTTTTAGAGATGCTGAAGTTTAACTAATTAAAATATGAATGAATCACAATGATTCAAATAAGTATTCACTTTGTGAGAAAGGAAGTACATGGACCATTAAATGGAAGGAAAAGGTTCAAGCAAAGACATCATGTTGCATTACAAAGAATTTCCAACCATTGCGGCCAATAAGCTGCATTGATTTTGTGTGCGGCCAACAATATGACAAGTGTTGTAGATCGGGCCTTTCCTGGGTTGCTTTAGCAAATGAGTTGTTTGAGGACTAGTTGCACGAGCCTGTCCTTTCTCACAGTAAACTGTGCCGTAATTAGTTCTTTGTGTGATCTTCTCATAAGGTGGTCTTGAACATGACGATGTTGGGCGTCCGGATCCATGTTTTTTTTGAGGGAAACAGAATATTAAGGAGTTCATCTGATTTATGTTGCAAGTGTGAATTCATGATTTGAAGACGGTTGGTGAGTGGTAGTTGCATTTGTTTGGTCAACAACATCTTTCATGTCTAAAATACATTTATCGTCTTTGACGTCTGCATAACAAATATGCGTAGAACCAAGTTTGTCCAAACCTTGCACAAGAATATCATAAGATTCTGCATTACTATCACCGAGTGTAATTACCTCAAGGGCCTTCACATAAAGTGTATGATGAGGGAATGTATTGTGTGCATGCAAATCATGATCCTTTCGATACATTACTAGATCGGCAGGAATGTCCACATTTTCATTATATGAGTTTATGGTATGTCTCAAATATCCAAACAAGTCATGACCTGAAAGTAGAATATATGTATATAGTCAATCTTTGTAATGTTACTAAATTAATATATGCACAAAGATTCAATAGTATAGACCTTGAAAATATGAGTGCAGAGAAGACTCATATGTTCATACTATCTGGATTCGCAACTGGACATTTGAAAATAATTAGCTGTCAATAATGTGGTAGCAGGGCGACCATTTCTCTTGTTGTACAACTTTTCTGTAAACTATCTTGTGCTGTTTGTTTGGAACGAGAACCTGAACTTGATAATCACCAAATTCACATAAGTAATCTCCAAGCATCTAAAAAAATGCACATATACATTTTATTAGCATGTATCTCAAGTGGATTATTAGCTTTTAAAACAATACAAGTCTGCAGAAAGAACAAATTAACTTATAAGTATGTGTAAAAGTTCATGCAATAAAAAATATGTATAAACAATGGAAACTTACGAGGCTTGTTCCTTTTTATTTATAACTTTCCTCTGCTGCTCGCTCAAATGGCATTCTCTGGTATTGTTTCTCAAAAAATAGCATCCGACATCCAATGGGTACATAAGTTTTTAGTAAAGGATTTGCACTTTCACCACATCCTGTGCTTGTTTGCTTTGCGTAGAAGATTCACGGAAAATATGCCTTAGCATACTTGTGTCTAAAATCAAAGGAATGTACAAGAGAAGTGTTATTTTGTAGTTTGTACTTATCAATAACCATTTTCCAACCAAACTCAAATCCATGGACAATTACCATATGATTCAATTCTACTTTCTGCCTCAACCTGAACTTGGTAAGCTAAATCATGACATTGCGAAAATATCTAATAAAAAACATCAAATGGTCTTTTGGCATCATTATTACCGAGCTCTTTATTGATGAGACCACATAATTTTTTTTAACTCCATTTACTAAAAGGAATGTTCTCCATTCAGCCAAAGAAAATCCCAAAAAACATATAGACCTTTGATATGTGGACACTGTTTGTTCTCATATTGTTTATTAGATCCTGAAGATACTTACCAATATGTCGATGAGATTGCCAATGCATCTTCTGAAGCATTAGTTATTGATAACTGATGGTTATGATGAGAGTGAAACTTAGTGATGGACCATAGATTATTATTGCGAAGACTTAATTGCCGCTCGATCCGGCCACAACCACCCATCGCTCGCTGCCCCGCCCACAGCCTCGCACCGCCGCCCCTCCCGCAGCCCCGCCCGCCGCCCCGCTCTGCCGCCCGGCACCGCCGCCTCGCCCACCGCCCCCACTCCGCCGCTGCTTGAGTACTAGATGCAGAAGATAGCTGAGACGTGGTTCAATGACCTAGCGGTGTGCATCTTGACGGAGGCGACACCGGATAAGAGGTTGACGAGCTGGCCGGTATGAGTATAACCACCATACCCACACCAGGTGAGGTAGTTTAATGGGCTCTTCGAGAGGCCAGATCTACAGTTTCAGAGCAAGCGGCCCACTGGTCCCCATTAGTTCCAGGCACTCATCGTTCATGTAATATGTGCGGGTCATGATAACGCACTCTCGGTTCAAATGTCGCGCTCCACTCATTTGACCCCTAAACAAATGGTCAAAATATTCATTTTGTAATGAAACATGCTTCTATCAATGAACTTACTATGATTGCTTTAGTAATACTTTTCATTATGTCATGTATGTTGTCAATGAATGTTGAGGCGATAATTCATATATGTAATGCAATGTCATGATGAGCTGCAAAATGGTGCAAACAATATCATTTCCGCCTGATTTTTTACCAATCCGGGGCTAAAAGAGGAATCTGCCATTTGTTAGCCCAACACATGTGGTGGGTGAAATCTGGCAACTGCGATATTTCCTCAAAAACACTGTGGCGGACAATAAACAGTGTCTGCCAATTTAAGTGCTCTACTTGTAGTGGTCGCCCGCCCGCCACTAATGTCATGTTAGCAATGGCAGGAGACCAGTGGCGTGTGCCCCTATGATAGCATGGCTTAATAGGGAATTCCCTCTTTTTGGGAGCCCATTCGGAATGAACTCTGAAGTTAAGCATGCTCAGCTTGGAGCAATTTTAGGAGGGGTGACCAACTAGAAAGTTGGTATCAGGTGCGCACGAGTGAGGACAAAGTGCGCAGGAAAGACTATTATTGATTTGTGGGGCCAGTCTAGATCCCGACAGAAGTAGCGGCCAGTAACCAGCGGTTATGTCCGGGGCGTTATAGCCCCTGGGAGCATTGCCCGCCACTACTGGGATTTTGGCCCCTGCTACTGCTAGCCATTCCTGCAGTAGTGTCATGAGGATTACTTCCACTATGGAGGTTTGTTCCCCTATAACCAAACAAGGCCTTCTTGGGGGGTGGCTTGGAGGTGTCGTCGTCAACATCACTCTTCACCATCTGCTTCGGCATTCTCTCGGGCGGCTATAGTACCAATGGTTAACTCTCAACTCACTGCCGGTGGCGGGTGCCGGATGAACATGGGTTTTAATTCGCAAGGGCACAAATGCAAGATGAGTTTGTGCAGCGTACAAATTTGCTGCTTTTCTCACGTTCTCTTTCTCAATTTATTTGCATAAGGAAGACGTCGTGCTCAAGTTATTAGTCCACAAACCGGACGATCTGTGCCATCCCACGGACCGCTCGTGCAGCTAGACCATGTTGCACGCATGGCAGCGACATGGACACACATGCCATTGCCGGACTCGACGCGGACGGCATCCACACAATACGTGGGCTCGTGCACTGCTAAACATGAAACAAAAAATATATGGAAAACCAACAGCTAGCTAGTTTATTCAACACTCAACTTTCCAAGAGGACAATGGAGGGGTCTCAGAATCCTTCCAAGTATTCATCATTTCAGGGTATCGGTCACCATGGACATCACCTGTGGCAGCGTACGACTCGAGTTCGGCCATCTCCTCTGGTGTGAGCTTCACAGACAGTGCTCCCACATTCTGATTGAAATTCTCCATTTTTGTTGTGCCAGGTATGGGGCAAACATCGCTCCCCTGATGATGAACCCATGCCAATGCAAGTTGTGATGGTGTGCACCCTTTTCTTGTTGCCATGGCGTTAACACTCTCAAATATCAGGGCATTCTTCTCAAGATTCTCTGGCTGAAATCTAGGTAAAATCTGCAGTAGTAGAACTTTGTCAGTGAAAGAGCCAACAAATCATAGAAGTGTCATTTATCTTTTCTAGGAAGAAATTTACGAGGCATTGCTATGCATAATTTAAAAATGTTTCTACACACTTGAAACATGAACATTTCCACGAATTATAAGCACCATAAGTTAAGACGACACCCACCCTTCCCTCCCCCGCGCCGCCCCTAGTGGGCGTCTCGGGGGCAACTCCCCCCTCGCCGGAGTAGCCCCTCTCCCTCCCCTCTCCCCCTCGCCGCCGCACGAGGCTGCCGCCGGGCAAGGCCCATGGCACAGCCCGGGACTGCGGCGGCGGGGCATGCGCTGCTCTGGTTCACATCGGAGGGTCTTGGATCTAGGCGGCGGCCCCCGGCGAGGCCCCTTGTCACCTGCGGTGAGCAGTGGGGTGGGCGCGGTGTTGGCGATCTGGTAGGGTGGCCGGCGGATCTTCGGTGGGCTAGGACCTCGCGTGGCTGCCCTGGTGGCTGGCGGCGTCAGATCTGGTTGCTGGCCATCTTCCCCTACTCGGTGCGTTTCACCCTCGACGATCCCTGGCTGTGCAGGCTTCTGGCCTGCCTCTGGGTTGCGGGTGATTCTGGTGGTCGGGATCCAGATTGGGGGAAACCCGTGGTCGGCTCTAGCCGGCCGCGACGACGACGACGTCCGCGGGCGCCGATTTCTTCATGGAGACGTCGGTCGAGGTCTGCCCTTCCACACCCCACCACCTTGCTTCTCGGGTGAAAACCTAACTCCGGTGGGCGGCGGCGGCGTCCTTGGCGTCGCGACCTTCTTGAAGGCGTCGCCTTGAGGGCAGTGTGGTGGCGAGATCAGTATGGGGTCGGTGACAGCAGCCGAGGATCGAGAGACCAGTGGGCGCCTTTTTTGGTGGAGCGGTGCTTCATCCTACACATTGATGACGGCGGATCTCGGCGGCGTGGTGCAGTGGAGACTCGGCGCCCGATGCGCGGTGATGGACTCGCGCAGGTGGAGGCAGTTGTCTGGCGTTATGGTGGCGTCGATGGCAGAGTGGCTTGACAAGGTAGAAGCCTCAATATCTGCTCTGAAGACGGACCTGTGGAAGATGGCGACGACGACACATGTGAGCGCGTCAGACCAGTTTATGCCCCAGACCCGATATGTGGCTCGGCTGGGGCTTCTGGCTTTTGATGATAGGCTTAGATGAGTGGTCCGGGTACTTGGCCCAGGTAGCACCCCTTCATTATATGGATAGGAGTAGTGGCATATGTTGCCAAGATGGCGGATTCAGGTATATTGTTATAATACTTTGTAAGGTCCTCGAGAATAATCAATAAAGTGGCCGTATGCATCTCCTAGATGCAGAGGCCGGGGGTCATCCTTCTTTTCTAAAAAAATAAGCACCATAAGTTAGAAGATGGTGCATTAGAAGCCAAAAGATAATAAAGAATTAAGCAGCTACCAGAATATGTAAAAAAAAATCACCTTACGGAAGTCGTCGTCTGATAGTGAGTCAGCCAATTTCGATCCTACAGAGAAGAACCCTCTACCAAGTGGGCTGTAACATACAATTCCAATTCCAAGTTCCCTGAAATTGTCAAGAAAAAAATCATTTTGATAAATTAAGCTTTATGATTTTCAATAAACGAAATATATAGGTGGTTTTTGTACAACACCTGCAAGTTGGAATTATGTCCTCTTCCACGTCCCTACTCCATAGTGACCATTCGATCTGAACTGAAGTGATAGGATGAACGGCATGAGCCCTTCTGATTGTTGATGCAGATGCTTCGGATAATCCGATGTACTTTATCTTTCCTTCTTGGACTAGTTTCTTGAGCTCACCAATCTAACAACGCGTGCAAAGTAAATTAAGTTGATCGGTGATATGAAAACAAACGACATGGATCTATATATATAGTGGTACGTGTATGCACTAGCTAGTAGTATTTTTTGCAGTATTGCCAATTCTCTGTCCACTTGGACTTCATTATGTCTTGGTCGGTGCTATATTTGTTAGATCATACATGAGATCTGTGCAAAAAAAAAATATTCCTTCTTCTTTCTTATATGATATGTTATTAAATTGAGACTTGGTTAAATCTCAGTCGATTGATACCTAGTCGATCACACCCATATTTTTATCCATAGACCATAGGTACACAGACAAAACAAGAAACGAATTACTACATAGTAATATGGAGTTGGATCGGTTAGCAATTTCAAACCTTGATATTTGTATATGCAATCATACTTGATAGAATATGCATGGAGTAGTAGGTAACAGTAACACTCACCGTGACCTCGATGGGCACCCTGGTGTCGACGCGGTGCTGGCAGTAGAGATCGATGCAATCGACGCCTAGCCGCTTGAGGCTGCCCTCGCACGCCTCACGCACGTACGCCGGGTCCCCGCGGACATTCCACCCATCCTCTGAAAGGAAGGCGCCGAACTTGGTGGCCAGATCCACCCTGTCCCTCACGCTGCCGCCCTGCAGCGCCTTGCCGAGGAGGGTCTCGTTGGTGTGCGGGCCGTAGACGTCGGAGGTGTCGAGGAAGGTGACTCCAGCGGCGACGGCGTGGTGGATGAGGGCCACCATGTCGGCGTCGGGCTTGGGGGGGCCGTAGGCGACGGACATGCCCATGCAGCGGAGGCCCTGCGCCGAGACCTCCATTCCCTGGGAGCCCAGCTTCATGCGGGGAACCGCTGGAGCAGCACAAGGAGGAGGAGCAGACGCCATATGCTCGATGATCGGCTCGCTCACGTATGTTTGGTGATCGGCTAGCTAGCTTGGATTGTTGAGCAAGAAGGTAGCAGGTGACTGTGTATATGTAGGGAGGCAGGGTGCCTGGCTGCGACTTTTCACCGCGACTGAGGGAATAGTGGCTAGCGTATGCATAGCGCTGAGGAGCGAGGGGTTTCCGTTTTCCTTCCTGGCGACTTTTCACGACGACCAAGTCCATCAAAGTGCATGCAGTTGGACCGGCTCCACAAATCGCACAAAATCTTGGAAGATGTGCACACAGAAATTCACGGCCACACAAATTAACTTGGACAAGTATAAGCACGGCAAGCCAACCCATTGTGGACTTGGACCTGGCGTCGAAAGCCAAAACTGTAGGGGACGACTGCTGAGGGTGCTTCCAAGAACCCGCCACATTGCCACATCCATGCACGGGGGTCTCATGTTGCTTGGAGCGGGGGCAAGCAAAAACCTTGGGTCAGGGTCAGTCATGCATGGCAAGTGTGCGGTTGACCCCCAGCGATGCTACACTTACAAGCATTTTTTCACGAATTAAAGCTTACCCGCAGAAGTGGCCTCATTAGATTGGGAGGAGGAGGGCCCCACACCTGAAATTCAGCGGGGAGGGGTGGATTAGATGCTCCCACATCCTCAGTTTCCGTGACTGTCGTCCGTAAGTAGAGCATTTTCGGGTTGACCCCCAAGAACTCCGATATGATAACCTTTGCTTCGCTGACTGTACTTTGATGTGCGGGCGATAGACACGGACAGGTCTGCCACTAATGCTACATTCACGGGATAATCCTGGCGTTCTACTGAGTAGCTTTGATTTGGAACATTGTGATTGGTTTAGAGGGGAGGAAAGGGCTTTACCCACCTGAAATGAACAATCACTTATCAGTGGCATTTGACCAAAAGCAAGTGTTATTAATAAGTGGTATTTGACAAAGAGTTTGTGCACTGATCAGTGACATTTGCTCTTGGGCAAATTTCTCTGATTAGTGACATTTGTTGTAGTGCTAGTGTAACTGATCAGTGGCATTTGCAGAAGAGTTAATGTCACTTATGAGCGGTTGTTCATTTTGCAAGCACCTCTAATACTTGTCCTTACCTAACAAGATATTGAAGAGTGACTGGAACATGGCAGGTGGAGGAGTTCAGGTGGTGGCCGGAGCTGAGGGCGTTGATACGTCTTCAACGTATCTATAATTTTTTATTGTTCCATGCTATTATATTATCTGTTTTGAATGTTTTATATGCATTAATATGCTATTTTATATGCTTTTGGGGACTAACCTATTAGCCTAGAGCCTAGTGCCAGTTTATATTTTTTCCTTGTTTTAGAGTTTCGCATAAAAAAATACCAAGCGGAGTCCAAACGGAATAAAACTTTCGCGATTATTTTTCTTGGGCCTGAAGACATCTAGAGGACTTGAAGTCCAAGTCAAGAAAGCCACGAGGCAGACACAAGGACGGAGGGCGCGCCCCCCACCCTTGTGGACCCCTTGTGACTCCACCGACCTATTTCTTCCGCCTATATATTCTCATATATCCCAAAACCAACAGTGGGAGCCATGAAAACACTTTTCCACCACCGCAACCTTCTGTACCCGTGAGATCCCATCTAGGGGCCTTTTTCGGCGTCCTGCCGGAGGGGAATTCGTTCACGGAAGGCTTCTACATCAACACCATTGCCCTTCCGATGAAGCGTGAGTAGTTTACCTCAGACCTACGGGTCCATAGCTAGTAGCTAGATGGCTTCTTCTCTCTCTTTGATTCTCAATACCATGTTCTCCTTGATGTTCTTAGAGATCTATTCGATGTAATACTTTTTTGCGGTGTGTTTGCCGAGATCTGATGAATTGTGGATTTATGAACAGATTATCTATGAATATTATTTGAATCTCCTCTGAATTCTTATATGCATGATTTGATATCTTTGCAAGTCTCTTCGAACTATCGATTTGGTTTGGCCAACTAGATTGGTTTTTCTTGCAATGGGAGAAGTACTTAGCTTTGGGTTCAATCTTGCAGTGTCCTTTCCCAGTGACAGTAGGGGCAGCAAGGGACGTATTGTATTGTTGCCATCGAGGATAAAAAAATGGGGTTTTCATCATATTGCTTGAGTCAATTCCTCTACATAATGTCATCTTGCTTAAAGTGTTACTCTGTTCTTTATGAACTTAATACTCTAGATAGTAGTAGATGCAGACAAGAGTCGGTCTACTTGACACGGACATGATGCTTATATTCATGATCATTGCCTTAGATATCGTCATAACCTTGCGCTTTTTTATCAATTGCTCGGCAGTAATTGTTGGGGAACGTTGCAGAAAACAAAAAATTTCCTACGGTTTCACCAAGATCCATCTATGAGTTCATCTAGCAACGAGTGATCGGATTGCATCTACATACCTTTGTAGATCACGCGCGGAAGCGTTCAAAGAACGGGGATGAGGAAGTCGTACTTGACGTGATCCAAATCACGGGAGATCCTAGCGCCAAACGGACGGCACCTCCGTGTTCAACACACGTACGGTCAGCGTGATGTCTCCTCCTTCTTGATCCAGCAAGGGGGGAGGAGAGGTTGATGAAGATCCAGCAGCACGACGGCGTGGTGGTGGATGCAGGGCGTCACCGCAGCAGGGCTTCGCCGTTAGACTGCGAGAGGGAGAGGTGTAGCAGGGGAGAGGGAGGCGCCAAGACACAAGGGTGCGGCTGCCCCTCCCTCCCCCCCTTTATATAGGCCCCCTAGGGGGTGCGCCGGCCCTAGGAGATGGGAACTCCTAGGGGGGGGGGGGCGGCGGCCAAGGGGTGGAGTGCCCCCCAAGCCAGGTGGGGCGCCCCCCCCCCACCCTAGGGTTCCCAACCCTAGGCACATGGGATGGGCCTAGGGGGGCGCACCAGCCCACTATGGGCTGGTTCCCCTCCCCACTTTGGCCCATGGGGCCCTCCGGGATGGGTGGCCCCACCCGGTGGACCCCTGGGACCCTTCCGGTGGTCCCGGTACAATACCGGTGACCCTGAAACTCTCCCGATGGCCGAAACTGCACTTCCTATATATAATTCTTCACCTCCGGACCATTCCGGAACTCCTCGTGACGTCCAGGATCTCATCCGGGACTCTGAACAACTTTCAGGTTACTGCATATTCATATCTCTACAACCCTAGCGTCACCGAACCTTAAGTGTGTAGACCCTACGGGTTCGGGAGACATGTAGACATGACCGAGACGGCTCTCCGGTCAATAACCAACAGCGGGATCTGGATACCCATGTTGGCTCCCACATGATCCTCGATAATCTCATCGGATGAACCACGATGTCGAGGATTCAAGCAACCCCGTATACAATTCCCTTTGTCAATCGATACGTTACTTGCCCGAGATTCGATCGTCGGTATCCCAATACCTCGTTCAATCTCGTTACCGGCAAGTCACTTTACTCGTACCGTAATGCATGATCCCGTGACCAGACACTTGGTCACTTTGAGCTCAATATGATGATGCATTACCGAGTGGGCCCAGAGATACCTCTCCGTCATACGGAGTGACAAATCCCAGTCTTGATCCGTGTCAACGCAACAGACACTTTTGGAGATACCCGTAGTATACCTTTATAGTCACCCAGTTACGTTGTGACGTTTGGTATACCCAGGGCACTCCTACGGTATCCGTGAGTTACACGATCTCATGGTCTAAGGAAAAGATACTTGACATTGGAAAAAACTCTAGCAAACGAACTATACGATCTTGTGCTATGTTTAGGATTGGGTCTTGTCCATCACATCATTCTCCTAATGATGTGATCCCGTTATCAATGACATCCCCATGTCCATAGCCAGGAAACCATGACTATCTGTTGATCAACGAGCTAGTCAACTAGAGGCTCACTAGGGACACATTGTGGTCTATGTATTCACACATGTATTACGATTTCCGGATAATACAATTAAAGCATGAACAATAGACAATTATCATGAACAAGGAAATATAATAATCATTTTATTATTGCCTCTAGGGCATATTTCCAACAGTCTCCCACTTGCACTAGAGTCAATCATCTAGTTACATAGTGATGAATCGAACACCCATGGAATTCCGGTGTTGATCATGTTTTGCTCTAGGGAGAGGTTTAGTCAATGGATCTGCTACATTCAAGTCCATATGTGCTTTAAAAATCTCTATGTCTCCATTTTGAACACTTTCACGAATGGAGTTGAAGCGACGCTTGATATGCTTGGTCTTCCTGAAACCTGGGCTCCTTGGCAAGGGCAATAGCTCTAGTGTTGTCACAGAAGAGAGTCATCGGGGCCGACGCATTGGGTATGACTCCTAGGTCGGTAATGAACTCCTTCACCCAGACTGCTTTGTGTGCTGCCTCCGAGGCTGCCATGTACTCCGCTTCACATGTAGATCCCGCCACAACGCTTTGCTTGCAACTGCACCAGCTTACTGCCCCACCATTCAAAATATACACGTATCCGGTTTGTAACTTAGAGTCATCCAGATCTGTGCCGAAGCTAGCGTCGACGTAACCCTTTACGACGAGCTCTTCGTCACCTCCATAAACGAGAAACATTTCCTTAGTCCTTTTCAAGTACTTCAGCATATTCTTGACCACTGTCCAGTGTTCCTTGCCGGGATTACTTTGGTACCTTTCTACCAAACTTACGGCAAGGTTTACATCAGGTCTGGTACACAGCATGGCATACATAATAGAACCTATGGCTGAGGCATAGGGGATGACACTCATCTCTTCTATATCTTATGTCGTGGTCGGACATTGAGCTGAGCTCAATTTCACACCTTGCAACACAGGCAAGAACCCCTTCTTAGACTGATCCATATTGAACTTCTTTAATATCTTATCAAGGTATGTGCTTTGTGAAAGACCTATGAGGCGTCTTGATCTATCTCTATAGATCTTGATGCCTAATATATAAGCAGCTTCTCCAAGGTCCTTCATTGAAAAACTCTTATTCAAGTAGGCCTTAA